CTGGTTCAGGTCCCGGCGTGTTGTCCGTCTCCAGGCGTTCGATGGCCGACTCGATACCAGAAGAGGATCCGGCCGCCCTCCCGTCGAACTTGTCGAAACTCGACGGCCGAGCAGCCGCGGTTTCGCCGTCCGTCTGACGCCGTTACGCAACGCTTCTATAAGCATCCGTGATCCGCTCGGAATGTGGCCCTCTCTCTCTCTCTCTCTCTCTCTCTCTTCTCTACGTCCGTCTTCGTCTCTCTCTCTCCGTCTCGCTCGGTGTGTCTCTCTATATATCCGTCCGTCTCCGTCGTCCGCTGTATCTTTCCCTCTGGCGAGTATCTTTCGGGCGGATCGTTTCGAGCCGCGAAGGAAGGGCGCGAAGAAAGCTGGCCCGAAAGGCGGACGGTCGGCCAGCAGGTAACTTCCGATCCTTTTCGGTCGCGCACGGTCAGCTCTAGCGGCGGCCGATCGGCAGTAGCAGCAGCACCAACAGCAGCGGCGGAGGCAGCATTCTTGGGAGCGTGGTGTATCTCCTCCTACGTGCGAACGGGGACCAGTGAATCAGCCCGCGCCGCCTCTTCCTACATGCGGGCTCTCGTGTACGGGCTTAAAATATTCACTAGACTTCACGAATGAGCTTCACGGACGGCCGGCGATGTTCCGCCGGGAATGTAGAACGACTTCGCTCACACCGGACCGGCTCCGCTGCCAGCCAAGATTCACTGAACCGAAAATCGTGCGCGGTGGTTTTTCGGGTCGCGCGTTAGCAGCCCCGTCGCCGGAACGCTTCGTCGGGGACAGAAGAACGGGAGGAACGGAGAGTCGATGCCGATCACCGTGGAGACGAGGAGGGCGGACACTCGGGCGCACTGTGGTTCGCTGCTGATCGACGCCGATCAGGAGCGGTCACGAGGCGACGTGGCGGACCGGAGACGTCGACGTCGCTGTCGTCGCGGCGGTTACGATCGCGGTCATGATCATGATCGCCGTTAGCTGCGACACCCTCTCCGGCCGAGGTTTCGGTATCACTTTCGTGCTACGATCGGCTTCGGGCACTGGGATCGCTCGTCGGGTCTCGCTGGATCGCTCGCGCGCACACCTCCGTTACCTCCGTACCTCCGTCCGTCCGCTCTAGCGATGCTAGAGCGGTGCCTCGCTCGCTCGCGCTCGAGCTCTAGCCTCGAGGCTTCGGCTAGCTGGCTAGGAGCTTCTATTTTTACCATGGGGTGGCGAATTGTTCCCCACGCCGGCGGCCCACGAGGCGGCAGCTCGAGCGGGCCGAGGTTCGCCAATGCGACCGGGTTCAAACCATTTATAAATAGTTGATGTTCTCGCGCCGCGCGGAAAATCGGCGAGGATTTCACGGAATACGGACCCGCGGGACGGCTCTGCGGCTTTGAACGAGGCGACCACTGGCTTGCCGCGGGGAACAGTCCGCTGGGGATTATCAGGCGGCTGTGGTTTATCACGGGAGCGGAGTTTTCAGATGATTTTCGGAATCCGTTGTGTTAGAGATGACGGTTATTCGCGACGAGAATGGAAATTGAGTTGATTTCATTTGTATTAGTAGGCTGGAAGATGGATAGTTGTACGAGGCTGAACGTATCGATGTGTATTTCACGAAGTAATCTATTCATTGGTTTAAATTCTACTTGTTTATGATCGAGTATCGAGGTTCTACTGTAGTAGATTGAGAGCCCTGGAGTATGGTTTGTTGGGAGTTATGTTGAACTTGGATGAACTGGTTGGTAATGTTCGAAGGAGATGAAGATTATCTGTTTGGCTGAAGAAAGTTACGTCGAGAATTGTTTGTCGAAACAGTTTAAATATATCTAGGAATTTTCGCAAGATATCTAGCGGAGATATATTTTTATAATCTTCCGCGAACGTCTCTAGAAGGTGATGTCAATAGAATGTTGAAGCATATCCAATGACGTTATATTTACGGCGGAACAATTTCATGGATTCTATTCACGAACCGTCAACGTCGAACGGAGTCGCGGAAAAATGGGAGCTAGAACCATAAACTTGCTCCTATTGGCTTGTCCTGTTCACGGGTATTCAAGGAACTCCGTTCGCGAGGAGCGTATCAATTTCCAAAAATAGAAGAGCCGTCCAATTCCCTATAGAATTCGAGAAAAATGGAAGCGAAACCGGGAATCTGTCCGTGCATGCCTGTTCAATTCTATTGAAACGTCGTCGCGGGGTACTACACGCGAGCGGCGAGTTCGATCGACGAGGGGGAAAACACGAGCGAAACGTGGCGTCTATAGACGGTGCACGCCGGGGGTTGCATTTTTGATGCTGCACATGCGAGCCGCGGCGATGTCGGTCAGTTACATTTCTCTCTCCCGGCGAGGAACTAGGCTTCCTTCGGTTCGTTGGAATACATTCGACCAATGCTCGGTGTCAACGCTCGATCCACGATCCAACGATCCACGGGAGCATATTACACATATACATCATGTACATATATATACAGAATGTACTCGAAATTACGCGACAATCTATAATAAGAATAAATCCTGAAAAATTCAGTGGAAACTATAAGACAACATTTTTCATAGAACAGTGTCCGAGATAATCGAGGTTAAACTGTTTAGTCGATAAACTGATTCGCTATTTATATCAATTCTCAAAATTTACTGTTCATATTGAGAACGCGTGACAATCTCCGCTTGTTATAAATATCAATGTTGGCTAAACATTCGAGATACATCAACTCGAGATTGAAGTGAAAGAATTCTAATTGTATCTTGTTAACTTATCTCTTCGCTTAGGTTCGTCACTTTTCTTGCAACGTGATTGCAGAAACACCCTGTATATAGGTAGATGTACATATTTATATTGCACATACATCAAAGCAGAAGAGACGGATAGCATCTCGTTCGTGGGGCAAATAGAGCCGGCCATCTGCGCGCGTCTTCTTTTTTATATAACAACAATCAATTAATCGATACCGTTGCACGCAAGAACGAGAAATAATCACGCGTACGCCGATGATGCGACGATCCGGCGCGGCGAGGAGGAAAAGAAAGAGGCTATACAAAGCGCCGGTACACCCTCATTATTAAAATAACTCCTATGAGGATGTTCGGTCTTGAAACCCGCTCGGTTTCGAGTGCCAGGTCTGGGTTAGCCACGCGGCGTTTCGCGAGGCTATTCGAAACACCGGGGATCCAGTTTCTTCTCCTCGATCTCGCGGGGTCCCTTTAAATCGATTCAAATGGGATTCTAGGATCTCGAAATTGATGAAGCATTTCAAGCTTGCATTCTTTCACATCAGGCTCAGATACGAATTGCATCGATGATGAAAGAGTTTTAATGCTGCGTTCGGGGATTATTTCATTTCTGAGTCTGTGCGTTGGAGGCTTCTACTTGTGCCGATGTTTTCGAAAAAATTTTTAATGGAAGGGGATGAAGTATATTTTCAATGTTAGAAACAGGTCTTATTGATATTAATTGTATTTGAATTTTTTTAATAATGTGTTAGAGGATTGTATACTTTTTGTCTGTGCATTGATGGATGCTTCTACTTGTGCTGATGT